AAAAAATGGGATAGGGCTGCTGTTGACTTGTTGCATGCACCTAAATGCTTACATTATAGAACGTGACACATCAAGAGATGTCACATGGGAAATCATTCTATTACCTTTGTGGTGTTTGCTACAGTTGACTATCCCTGTATTCTCTATTGTCTTTGTTTTAATTAGGCAATTCCTGATATGATTGGAATGCATCAACCAATATTCCAATGAGTCAAAGTCTGTGCACATCACATTCAGAACAAAACTTGGGTTAGTGCTTGTCGCTAGAAGAATGCATGGAATTGTGGGAAAATCAACACTTACAATCAGATGCATTGCACAGCAACCATCCCCCTTTAATAATAATAGAACTGTGAAAAGGTTCCTTCAGGGAAGCAAACTAAACCTAAATTTTGGTATCAATACAACTACATTAAAAGGTGGTGATCATCGTACAGCACACATATTCTAATTTCATATTAACAAACAACCATCTATACAAGTCTCTCCAGTGATAAGCATATACTGGTAATACAGAATTCTCTCTATTTATTTACAATGACATCTGTATCTACATCAATTTACATACATTTTTGTTGAGAAAAAAAAAATACATTGGTAAAAACCAAGAACAGTCATAGACTTTTTTTTTATTTTCCTTTCTTTGTTCTGCTTGATGCTCTTTTTGCCTGACCTGACCCATCAACCGATGTTAATTTTGTCTGTATCGTTTCTTCACTTTTTTGTATTTGGTTGTCCACAGATATCCGAAGTTTTTCTACTTCCTCGGATAAATGTTGTTGAATAATTTTCCTTAGTTCTTTCATTTTCGGAGACTCTTCTGAAAGTATTAAAATATAAATTTTGAACGTTAGTTTTTTATACTAAAACTAACATTATCAGTGGGGAGTGGAATAAACGTCAGGGCTCCAAAAAAAGTATTTTACAGTAGAAATAAATACATGTCATTTTTCTCAATTTGTGTAGGACATCCATTGTTTTGAATTGGTTTATTTCAAAAACAAAGTACATTTTGTGAAAATGTTTAGTACCGGTACGGGTAGTTCAGGTGGGCTAGTATATTTTGAAAAAAAAATTGTATCCTTGTATCCCTAGGAAAAGATTTGGTAGTGTACACCTTGATCAATGTTAATTTCGAGACTTGAAACATTTTCAGGGATACACTTGACTTTGATTATAGCCATGTTAGAAGAATTAGAAGGAAGAAGAAGAAAGCACACTATACAAGGTTTTGATGTCACTTATATTGTGCCATAATATAATCTATATTATTATTACACACAGATATTTCCATTTAACTTTTGACTGTCAAGTTTTTTTTCTTACCTTTCTCTAATTCTGGTTCTGGTGTCTTTAATTCATCTTCATCTTTGGTTGTATCTCCATCTATCACATCTTCTGCCTCTGTTTCTTCTTTTGTCTCATCTTCAGCTGTCAAGAAATAAGAATAGTTAAACATCTACAATATTTGTGATCATCATTCATGTCCTATTGGCTAGCATTGTAATGCTACGAACCAATTGGAAGCAAGCCATGCAATAAATTTCCATATCGCGTCTGGCTCTGTTTGACAATATTTGTACAACTCTCCCGGTATATTCCCTTCATAATTTCAAAGTGGTGCACACTTGAGCGCTGAAATTGGTAGTTAAATTTATTTTAATTTGACAGTACAGAAATTATATTGTTGGGCTTCCCTTCATAAAATATCAATCACAAATACATGTAGCTTTCAAAAAGATACAGAAAGATATTGAAATCTAACGTTATTCAAGAGATTACAAATACTGGTTGGGGTTCTGATTCAAAAGAGTTGCTATATTAACGATTGAATGTTACAATGCTAAAGCGCTTTATTGATGTTGAGGTGTAAGCACAAATAATATCAAACTATAACTAACAGAAATAAGATTACTAAAGCAAAATAACTGAAACATCAGTAGCTCAATTGCATTTATTTTCAATGGAATCTATGATAAAATCTTTATGGACTGAATCAGAGTCCCTCCACAAGCAGCTCTTGGTCGTACTGGTAATCTAAGTTTACACCATATGACCTTGGCTGCAAGTACTGTATCCAGTCCATAAAGATTAAATGTTGTTTATGTTTCAGTAAAGAAATCAAAGTACTAGTAGTAACAACTCAAAATAAGTTATGTGCATTCACAACTATTCTATTGGTCAAATTTCCAATTTACATCAGTAACCCCCCACCCCCCACCCCACCCCAGGTAAGTCAAGGTGAGGTGATGATTACGATTCACACTCATGGTCCATATGCTGTAATCATCACATAAATTTGATTTAACTAGTACCCCGGTACATGCTATTTGATTGGTGTGAAGTCTTACCTTCTGAAGGTGGGGGAGTCTCTGGTACTCCCTCATAGGTTATAGCGAGGTCAAGCCGAACTAGAGGAGTGAAGACGTACTTGTACAGTTTGTGATGTTTGAAGTATGTATTGACGACGTACTCTGTGATTAGCTTTACTTGGTCAGGCATGAAGAGGTCAACACTCCAAGGTGGTCTCTGTTGAATGAAGAGAGCAACTACAGTTAATTTACTTTGATAACCCTTGTAATACATCAAAAGATTCAAAATAGTATTTGCCAAACTTCATTAAAAGATTAGCCTAACTATTAAAACTTGATTATTATTTGCTCGTTAGTTTTCACACCAACAATTTGATGCTATCTTTTGTACACTTTTATGCATTTTTCTAGAATTTTGGGGTAAATTTTGAACTAAACAGAAACAATTTCCAATTTCCTACAGGTCACAATCAAAGTTATTGAAAAAAATATGGAAAAAATTATGCAGATTTATTCTGTGAATGCTAGGTGACAGAAGTTGACATTGGCGTACACAAAGATTTAACTTTGCGAGATACAAATTTTCCTGAATTTGTAATGTTATGCGATCATTGTAATGTTGTTCATATTTTCATTTGTAATTTCATATCAAGAGATTGCATGTGCTG